CTTTTTTTGAGCTCTTTTGCGGAACAGTTAAGGTGTCTGTTAGCAATTGGGTCGGGTCGGGCTAATTTCCGGGGGCTGGACTAGTGCAATTCGGAACTTGGAAATGGACTCAATGGAAGCTATTCAAGCTAGATCCGCTACCTGTGAAGTCATCGGAGGGGAGTTTAGCCACCAGGTCGGGGAAGAAATTCACCGGCTAATGTCTGTGCAGCCGGATTCTGGGAGTTCATTCACCGCACTGCTTGAACTTCCCGCAAATCAAGCCGTGGAGCTCTTAGTGCACTCGCCGGAGGCCGCCATAGCTGAAAGTCCTTCCGTGACACGACCCCTAGAGCAATTCAGTCAATGTCCTCCTCCTCCGCCGGCTTCGACGCTTATTTTCCCTTCCGACACCGCTCTCGTGGACCGAGCTGCCAAATTCTCGACCTTAGTAAATTCAGATGACAACTCAAGGGCAAAATTGGAAAGTGTGAAGCAAGAGCCAGCGGACTCCGATTCCAACCCGACCTCCAACTCATCTCCAGCTGTTTCGCACCCCGCCGTTGAGCAGAATCCGAATTCTGCAAAGCGAAAGGAGAGGGAGAAAAAGGTAATTCACGAAATTAGGGTTTTCTCCTTGGTAATTTAACTAATTAACGTGATCATTGTGCAGTTAACTCCAAATTTTGTTACAATTAGGGCAAAGAATCTAACAAGAAGGGCAAAAAAGCTGCAAATGAAACCTCCGAAGACGGCCGCGAGAAGCTTCCTTACGTTCACGTCCGAGCTCGCCGAGGACAGGCCACGGATAGCCATAGTTTAGCAGAAAGAGTAATAATTAATCTCTTCCTCGTATAATTCATGTAATTAAGCTCTAATCATATCGTCATTAGTCATTAATCATGTTTTTAGGTTGGAAATGATGGAGATTGAGCTCTAATTGTGTTTGTTCAATCATTAATTCTGTTTTAAGGAGTTGTACTTTGTTCTGTAAAAGTTGGACTTTGATGGGATTTATGGGATTTTGTTGTTCTGAAGTGAATTTTGATATATTTCTTTTTTTTTTTTTGGTCTTGGGTAATTGATCTCTGTAGGCAAGGAGAGAGAAGATTAATGCAAGGATGAAGCTGTTACAAGAGCTGGTTCCCGGATGTAACAAGGTTGGACGTCGTTTTCTTCACAAAGAAATGTCGTTTCGTCATTTAGTTAATGGTTGGTTTTCATGATGATTAGATTTTGGATTACGTGATGGGAAAATCTAGTTACCAATTTTATAGTTGCTGATTATGATTTGTGCCTTTTTGTTTGGGGTCATTAGTACTATTGGCTAATTTTAATTAATTTATTTTTTCCTGCCTAACGTGATGTTTTGTGTCGCTGTCACCTTTTTAACGGGAATAAAGGTAGTGGCTTTTTCACCAACAAAAGTGGCTGAGTCTGTTGCTGATGTTGAAGTGTCTCTCTCATAAATCTTACATATTTTTGCTTTACCTTTTACAGGGTTTGTTTGTTGAAGGGTCCTTTCTTCTTAGGTCACTTCTGTTATTTTGTTAAACTACCTTTTCTTTTTGAGCGTTGGGAGGTTGGATTTCTGGCAATATGTAGAAGTCGGTTCGGACTTCCTCTCCCTTTATTGATTTTCTCTCTTAATGGTCCAGTTGGTGGGGAAGCTATTCCATTTGTTTAAGTTGGCAACTTGGCTATGTGATATTATGGTGACTTTTTGAGTGGGGAGTAAGGGGATGGTTTGGGGTAGGCCTTACCATTCAATTTGCTGCTCTTGCATAGTTATGATACTTTATGTTGGCATTTAATCTTGAAAGCTAATAAGGGTCTTTATAAGATGATAAGGAAATAAGGGAACTATAGGAAATAGCTAACTACTTTTGATGCTATTATTGTAATCTTGAAAACTTTTTAGGCCCTTCCAAAGATGATTAAATGCAACAACTTCCACTAGTGATCATTTATTGCTGTTCTTATTGAGTTTCGAACTGATACAAAGCTCTTCAGGCGATCTTATAATTTTGCTGTTCTTATCTGTGATGGGGTTTCTTCCATTTCGTGAAATTGAGTAGAATTTTGAGAAGTCTTTAAATGATTTTGTCCAAGTTAGAGGACAACTTTAATAGAAGGATATAGAACTTGTGTACTCAAAGGACCTGAAGAAACTTAGTATAAGATATGATGGCTGGGAAAAGTGAATGAATAGACTTACAGTGCAATCAGGTTATCCTTCAATTAAGCCCTGTACCTTGTATGAAAACAGAGTTTTTGACATAAACCGCCCAAAGCTTCTTAAATGAATACTACCGAGGGGTAATATTCAATGAATGCTTCCCCGGCTCTATTAACATTTCCAATCCAAAGAATCGCTGAGCTTTCAGGGCTGAAATTTTTGGTTGATATAATTGCTGTGAGGCCCCAAACTTGAAAGGATGAAAGGACAAATTTAGTTGCTGCAACTTTAGTTTGAGAGTACTTTATTTTGTTTAGCACACGTAGATCGCATATAGGTTGGGATGTACCTGGATGAGAAAAGCATAAATAGGTAAGTTGAAGTTGGGTCTGCTATTATGAATTATCTGTTTCCAACTGCTTTGCTTTCCATCATTGCAATCATTACTCCTTTATAGACTAATTTTTACCCATTTGTGCTTACATGGGTGGTCATATCTTAAACAATCAGTTCATGAGACTAAAATCCGAATGCTCATCTATGTCAGCATATTTTAGTTCTATTTTAATCTCAAAGGCAGTTTTTGCTGTTATCCTGCAATGTGTTTTTCTATGTTCCCATTTCCAATAGTGATAGTTGATAGTGCTGCACTTGAAAATGATTAATTAAGACTAACATAATATTTGGTCTTAAACGCTCCAAAGGAATCTGAATCTTTAGCCAAGACAGAGATGGTTATTGTTTAAACAGGTTTTCAATGTGAAACACCATCAATTAGTTGATAACTTGAGCTAAGAATCACATTAGTAGAGAAATCAGATCCTCCTTTTGCTTTTTAATACTTTGTCACCCGACAACTCAGTTGTGTATTGTCTCTTTCCAGATTTCAGGCACTGCAATGGTGCTGGATGAGATCATTAACCATGTTCAGTGCCTACAACGTCAAGTGGAGGTCATGCTTCAAGTCCTTTATTCTTTTTTTGTATATGTCATCTGGTGATTTTACGGTTATGGGTGCTAAATCGATTTCCTGTTGGTTTCTTAATTGGCTTTCAGTTTCTCTCAATGAGACTTGCTACTGTCAATCCCAGAGTTGATTTCAATCTTGACACACTTCTTGCAGCAGAGGTATGTGTATTTATTTCCTGCATCTCTGTCAGTGTCTTGAATTCAATGGTCTATAAGATTACCCGCTAAAACATATCTGTTCGAATCATCCTGATTGCTGTGATGAAAATATCCAGTGATATGAAATACGGGGGTGAGTAAACAGAGAATTGAGGAGGTATATCTGGAGTGTCAAATATGAACCACCCGTGCTATCTGTCATCTCTGCACTGCTACTAAAGCTTAAGCAGCTGATAAATATGCCTTCAGTTAAAGCAATCTGTATAAGGATGCTCTGTCTATTTCTAACAAGGGAATTGCATTTTTCTGAATCCAAAAAAAAAAATAAAAATCAATCAGCAATGCCAGAAGGGTTTTGCTTTTTTGCTTACAGTATCTATTCCACTCATGGAAAGCTAAATCTTCTCACATCCTTTTGGATTTGTTGCATAGTTGCATTTATCTGAGTTGCTAAGTGTACAATAGGCAATAGCACCATTGAATGTGTGAAAAGCAATCCTTCCTGGAATCCTTCATTTTCCTTGTGTTGTTTAATGGGGAGTTTGAGTTGCCATGAATGTGTGCCACTCATTGAACTTGTATAAAAACATGAAGTTATGCTGACTTTCTAGTGATGATTTTTCTTGCTATTATATTCCCAGAGACCATTTTATATATTTTCAACTCTAGAATGGAAAATTTATAAATTTTCTGAACATTGCAGAGTGGATCCCCAATAGAAACGAATTTCCAGGGCATGGTTATGCCATCAATGTGGCCTGAAGAACAGGTACACGGGAACAGACAGCAGTATCAGCAGCTGTGGCATTTAGATGGACTGCATCAGCCAATCTGGGGTCGGGAAGAAGACAATTCTAACTTTATTACTCCAGAAAACTCGCTGTTGAGTTATGACTCTTCAGCAAATTCAGGTAATGCGAATCTTCTTGTGATTCTAAAAACTATGTATGGATTGGATTGTGTCCTTTAGTACCTATAGTACTCCCAAGTAGTTTCTATTTTCGCACCCGTCTCAACTGTAATGGCGGGTGGGTTATTTCAGTCTGCATACAGCATCATACTCTAGAAATTAAAATGTGTAACCAGTGGTTCAAAATTATATATATGATATTTTACCCAGTTGGGCTCCCATTTCTGCTCCGTTGAAGCTAGTAAACCCCACCATTCGCTTCATCCAAAAAGATCCAAGTAAAAGAACCAATGGAAGCAAAGAAAAAGGAAAAAAGTGCTTCAAAGAAAATACATAATATTACTTGCTAGCCCATCCAAGAAGCTACTGACTCTACATAATATTAATTGTTTTTGTGTTATTGCAGCTTCTTTGCACTCAAATCAGCTGAAAATGGAGCTGCTTTGAAGGTGGTGGTGGTCCTGAAGCTGCTATACATTAATACTTGCTAGCTAGCTGTATATAAATCACATATAGTAGTGTTATGTTAGTAAATAGCAGGAAGGCGTAGAGAGGATGCCTCGGCCAATTCATTTGGTTCCTCATTGGGTTCCTACATTCTCTAGTTAACCAGCTGGCAGAATATCCATCCATAATGCAATCATCTTCTTATCTCAGCTTTTGAGTGTAGTAGGACTGCAGTTTATTTTGTTGTTATTCCTCCTATATATATATATAATACTCCTACATGTCAATAGTCCCTTTTTAATAGAGAGTCATTCAATCCCATTCTTCACGTTTGAGCTCTGATTGATTGATTGATTCGTAATGTAAAATGAAGATCCAGAACCAGAAGCAGCATTTATGCCTTAACTTTCGTCTGAAAGATGCCCCTCTTTCTTTTCTCACCATCAATTCTCTGTTTTTTTTAGCCGTTTGTACTTTTGGAGCTAATTCTATGAAAATCCTAAGAATGATTTAATCATTCAGGGTTCACTGTTCCAAGTAAGCGTTGCGTGAAGGGCTCTTTTTGTACAACAACAAAGACGCTACTGCCGTAATCGAATTGGTCAAATTATACATATCCCAAAGGAATCATTATCCACTCCACTACCTTGAAGATGCTGATCCCATTTTTCTTCTACCACCTAATAACACTCCGCACACACGCCGCCACCATCCTGTCCCATGCCGCCGCATCGCCACTCTCCTTCTCCGTCAAAGACTTCGGGGCCAGGGGGAACGGCGTCCACTACGACACCCTTCCAATCCAATCCACCATCGACGCCTGCTCCGCCGCCGTCTCGACCTCCCCCCACATCCCATCATGCCACGTGGAGTTCCCTCCGGGGAAGTACTTAACAGCCACTGTACACTTAAAATCCCGCGTGATTTTGCGCGTTCACAAGAACGCCACCATATTGGGGGGCACGAAGATCGAAGACTACCCGAGGGAGCAGGAAAGGTGGTACGTGGTGCTGGCGGAGGATGCAGCAGACGTGGGGATCACCGGCGGCGGAGAGATAAACGGACAGGGGTTGAAGTTCGTGAAGAGGTTTGAGGAGAGGAAGAATGTGATGGTGAGCTGGAACGAGACGGGGGCGTGTCTGGGGGACGAGTGCAGGCCAAGATTGGTGGGGTTCATCGGTTGTAGGAACGTCAGAGTGTGGGACGTCAATCTTATCGAGCCCGCTTATTGGTGGTATGTCTACGCGCGTCCCACTTCTCTAACTCTTTTTCAGTTTTCTTCGTCCTTCATTGGCTCCTCATCTTTTATTTGGACATTCGCAACACTTCACTTCAGCTGTAGGCACGCAAGGACCCCCACTTTGGATTGTGATTTCTTTTTGCGAGATTTTTTTTTGGGGGCATAAAACACACTCTAACTCTTCTCTTCTTCTTCTTCTTTTTTTTTTTTTTTTTAAAACAAGTACTACATCTTTTTTTTTTCAAATGTACATTTATGAAATTAAAAAAAGAATTAATCTTTCTAGTATATATTTACTGTTACTTTTGGATGAATGACAATTATATATATTTAAAATTTAAAATTTAATTTTTATATATGTATCATTAGTATATTTATTGTCAGTGTATGTAAACTTTACTCTTAAAAAAAGTTAAAATGTGTCAAAGAATATTTTCGCGAAAACTCAAAAAAAATTTTATTCCACCAAAAAATACAATTCAATCAAGGAATCTATGACATCAATCTCACTGAGCCGGCCTTATATATATATATAACTTTTTGAAGTTCAGTAATAGGCCAGAATTTCTTTTTTGACCTCTTTGTCGCTTTACTCTTTAGTATGGAATATGAAGTACTCAACCATTGAGCCAAACACCAACAAGGAATTAAATCCCGCTTTAGACTGTAGGTCGGATGTTTGAACCTCACTTATAGTGAAAAAATTCAAAAGTGGTGTCGAGCTTTCCTTTGATTTAATCGAATCTGTATAACTATTTGCCTCTTATGCAGTCTCTTTAGACTTCTCTCGGTGTAAAATAGAATAGATTAGATAAGTACAAAGTACTCATTTTACTTGGTGGCTACTTATGACCTTTTAGACTGGGGAATGGGATGGAAAAAGGAGAACAGGCAGGTAAAATATAGCTTCAAAATGAAGCATTTTCTCTAGCACAAGAGGCAAAGAGATGCATGCTAATTGTAGATAAGTTGTCTGGAGATAATCATCACAGTAAAACTACCACACTAATCAGCCAAGGAGGATCTTCAACCTTGTCTAGTATGTGATGCATCTTATTCTATACATGTTTCTTTCTTCTTTTTCTCTTTTTATTTTTTCTAATGTATATGTGATTCACAAATAAGGTGGATTTTTTAGTTATATTTTGTGCATTGCATGATTAAACACATAATTTGGGATTTTTGTTAATACTTTGAAGTTAGCGCCCATTTTAGGTATTGCTAATTTTAGTCCTATGGTGCAGTCTAATATGGATGCTAATTTATTGGTGAGTTTTTCAACTGCAATGTACGCCAAGGTTTTACGGCACACAGGATTTTAAGTTATCATAAGCACAAGTCTGATTACAGTTTATCTAATTTAATTTTCAAGAAGAAAAATAAAATCTTATCTATTAGCATACAGTCTAATGGAAAAGAAAATTTCCGAATTGTTTATGGGATTGTAAGTTGTAACAACTATTTTCTTTATTTTATCATGTCCATGCAGTAATTAGTAGTAGATTCTCGTTATTGAAGGTTACTAAACATGAAGTTATATTTTTCAAACTGGAGACTACCAAAATTTTTGTCTAATACTGTTGGACCAATCAATAATTGATGGTATGCTATTGCAATACATCATAATTGAAGGTGTAAATTACCATTGTAGTATCATTTTTTTTATTTTTAAATGCAATCTTTAAAAAGTTTAAAACCTAAAGAATATTATCCATTTTTGATGAAAAAGAAAAGTTTTATCCATTTCCGTGACGCAAAGACCAAGAATAATGACCCCACTTCCGGATATCCTGTCGGTATTTTATTCGTGTCTGCTTCAATTATCAAATTCTGGTCACTGGTCGATTCACGTCCAAATCCAAATTGGACCAGGGCCTAACGGCTGTCAGAAAAACCAAGTGGGCAGGTTTGAACTTCAAACGTACGTGATGTAATTTCATTTGTTCAAAACGTGACTTACTTTCAATATAACGTACATATATAAAATAAAATTTTGTAAAAATCACACATGATGTTAATATCTACGTGCAAAAATGTGATTTGGATCCCATATTTTTTTTGGCCACCTCATGATCGTCAACCTTTCTGAATAGTTACTACTTGCAACCGTTCCTGCCTCATTACCATCCAAACTATATGTCACGTAAGCAGTAGTTGGGTCTCTTATATTATATAGTTGTGTGGTTGTTTATATATATATATATATAGTCTGACAAACTTGTTCATGGGAGGAATGTCAGTTCTTTATTTAGTAAAAACAGCGAAATAAGTAGAAGGTGGAGGGGGATGAGTGCCTGGCCTCCAAGAAATAAAAAGTAGTAAACGAGGAGTTACGACTCTCTCACAAAATGGTATTATATAGTTGTGTGGTGAATGGTAGTTTTTCTTTTTCGATGTATGTATGAAAGAGCATGCATCATTTACTTGAGCGCTGCCGTGTTTGTACATGCAATCTGAAGTACATTTCGTAATGTTGCAGTTTGCACCTTGTCCGCTCGCAAAACACATCAGTGGAAGATGTTACAATATATGGGAACTTCAATTCGCCTAACAATGATGGGATAGATATAGAGGATTCCAATAACACATTCATCACAAGATGCAGAATTGATACAGGAGATGATGCTATTTGTCCAAAGTCATCCACAGGACCTGTCTATAACCTTACTGCAACCAACTCCTGGATTCGAACAAAATCTTCAGCAATCAAGCTTGGCAGTGCTAGTTGGTATGATTTCAAGGGATTTTTGTTTGACAATATTACTATTTATCAGTCCCACAGAGGGCTTGGCTTCCAAATAAGAGATGGAGGTAAGACATCATTATCACATGGAAAGTGAATCTTAGCTGTATCTGAGTCGAAATTTAGTCTGATAAATGCTGGTACTTGTCCTTTCGCTGCAGGGAATGTTAGTGACATTAAATTTTCTAACATAAATATCAGCACAAGATATTATGATCCTTTGTGGTGGGGAAGAGCTGAGCCTATTTATGTAACTACCTGCCCGAGAGACTCCACTTCAAAAGAGGGTTCAATCTCCAATTTACAGTTCATTAACATCACGGCAACTTCAGAAAATGGCATCTTTTTATCAGGTTCCAAACATGGAATCTTGAGCAGTTTGAAGTTCATTAACGTAAATCTCACGTACAGACGACGGACAAAATTTGCGGGTGGTGTGTTCGACTACCGTCCAGGATGTGAAGGACTTGTGAAGCACAGCACAGCAGGGTTCATGATGGAACACATAGATGGTTTGGTTGTTCAAAATGTGAACATGAGGTGGTTTGAGGATAACTCAGCCAGGTGGAATAATCCTCTTGAATTCAGGCCTTCAACTGTGAATAACATCTCTTTCCTGAACTTCCATTCAGGTTTCCATTCTCGTGAAGTAGCTACTATCTAGGCAGCAACAATAAGCTTGGAGGCCTATCGATCAATTTCGATGTACTCTCAGAAATTCACATCACAGACCTGTATACACATTACTAGGGGTTGCATTTCCACAGCAGATACTGAAATGCTTAATAATGCCTAAATGGTTTTCTTTGCCTGTTTTCATACTTGCAGACTGAAAAATGAACGTTCAGAGCTTTCTTGTAGACTATGTGATATGCTGAAACTGAATGACTCATTTGGCTTCATTAGGTGCCATTACTAGATCACATACCCTGATGGTGCGAAGTGAAGTGAAAGAGTGAAATTTCCAGTGCTAATAGATTTTCCATCTAATGTTCAACTACCAAATAATCAGTAAGCTTTTGCAAATCAAAAATATGAGTTGGAATACTCTGACCTATGAACTGGTATTTATATATTAAAAAGTTTTCTTCTGCAAAGTGCAAACCAGAAAAGAAAGGTAAAAAGGGAAAGAAAAACATGTTTTATATACCTCATAATCTCTATTCTTCATAAAAATGAAAATCAAATGTGTTTCTTACCTCTGAATCACTACCTTTTAGAAGTTTCTGTCTTAAACTCCAGCAGAATAAAATTATTGAAAACACAACAGTCTCATTCTATAGAAGAAAATCCAACATTTATTATCTCATCATCACAAAAGGGAAAAACAAAATCATTCCAAGAATCCCCTTGCTACCATTAAGTCACTACCTCAAGTTTTCACTTTGTCTACCTCTTTTCAGACAGTTTCAATATAGAAAAAGGTGTGAAATTCAATCCGACTTTCTATCACTGATTCACCACCACCACCACCTGCATGGTTGTGTAGTGTTGTATCTCTCTCAAAATCTTCTTTTTTCATGCTCTCAAGTTTTCAACGTGAAAAATGCTTAGGAGCAGAGTATCCTTTGTTTGCCACCGTAGAGAACAAAGACTTTCCTCTATAACAAACAAGGCATTGTCTAACCTCCAAAAGCTAACTTTATCTTTCTTACCGACAAATTCAACCAATCTAATAACTCTCTGCGCTAGCGGTCACATAAAGGAAGCCTTAACAGAGATGGGTAAACAAGGCCTTGAGGTGAAGTTAAGAGACTGCAAGGAACTTCTGAACCAATGTGTGAGCCAAAGGGCCTTGAAAGAAGGCCAAAGGGTCCATGCCCACATGATCAAAACCCATTATGAACCACCCATGTATCTCAGGACGAAGTTGATGGGGCTGTATGTGAAGTGTGAGTGTTTGAGTGATGCGAGGCGTGTGTTCGATGAAATGCCAGAAAGGGATGTTGTTTCATGGACTGCGCTGATCTCTGGGTATGCTCAAAGAGGGTATGCCTCTGAAGCGCTCGATCTTTTTGTACAGATGTTAAGATCAGGTAATTGTTTCGATACACACACACGCACGCACGCACACTCATATATACACATAGAAGTGTATAAACATGAATGTGGGAGCGGGCGTACGAGTATGTGGAATGATGCTTTTAGGTCCTTGGTTATACATGCATAAAAATAAAGCTGCTGCTTTTGATCACATGCTATGCTAATAGGTGCTGTTCGGAAGTCTGACTCATTGACAATATATTCTAAATGGGCTCCCGTCTGATATATATATATATATATATATATATATATATGGTTATGTGCTTGTTTTAGTAATAGAAAAAGTAAACTTACAAATGCAAAAGTGGCAGAGATATGAAAGAATAGAAGTTGCATTCTAGAAGATGGTTTTTATATCAATTGATGCAGATTGTGGCTTCTAATATAGTACCACACTTGACACTTGAGAACATAAATCTAAAACAAGATGACACTTTGAAAGGAGTAACTTTCGTTGCATTTGGCCACTCGATGTAGCATGACACGATTGGAGTAATTGCGGTGACTGTTGTAATTGCAGTGTTTCAATTTTGACAAGTGAGCTTAAACAAGAGAGAAGAACCACGTGTTTCCTGATCAAAAATTGTTTAACTAAAATGAAGTTGCATATCTAACTAATTTGGTGCTTGGGTTTTAATAATTTGCTTGATCTTTAATGCAGCTGCTGAGCCAAATGAGTTCACTTTCTTAACAGTACTTGCATCTTGTACCGGTGCTTTTGGCTTTGTCCACGGGAGGCAAATTCATTCTCTTCTAATTAAGCACCCTTTTGAATCCCATGTATTTGTTGGAAGTTCACTTTTGGACGTATGCAAAAGCTGGTAAAATCCAGGAAGCTCGAGATATTTTTGAGAGCTTGCCAGTAAAGGATATAGTTTCTTGTACTGCGATTATATCAGGTTATGCCCAACAAGGTCTTGATGAAGAGACCTTAGACCTGTTTAGAAGATTGCAGATGGAAGGAATGAGATTTGATTATGTAACTTATGCTAGCCTGTTAACTGCATTATCTAGGCTTGCTGCAATTGAACATGGGAGACAAGTTCACGGCCATGCTCTTCGGTTGCAACTACCATTTGACATAGTGCTTCAGAATACTTTGATTGATATGTACTCAAAATGTGGAAATCTTGCTTACGCAAGGAGGATCTTTGATGACATGAGTGAAAGAACTATCATCTCTTGGAATGCTATGCTTGTGGGCTATGGCAGACATGGATTGTGGAAAGAGGTGGTTGAACTTTATGAATTGCTGAAAGCAGAAAGCACAATTAGACCCAACAATGTATCCTTTTTGGTTGTATTATCTGGTTGCAGCCATGGGGGGATGGAGCATAGAGGGTTGGAGATTTTTTATGAGATCCTGAGTGAAACTGATGGAGTTGAACTTGGAATTGAGCACTATGCTTGTGTTGTTGATTTGCTAGGGCGTTCTGGACAATTAGAAAGCGCCTTTCAGTTCATCAAGCAGATGCCTTTTGAACCAAATGCTGCCATATGGGGATCACTTTTAGTTGCTTGCAGGTTTCACCAAAATGCCAAGATTGGCGAGATGGCAGGCAATCGGCTTCTGGAGATTGAGCCTGAAAGTGTGGGGAACTATGTTATTTTTGCTAATTTGTATGCATCTGCAGGAAGGTGGGAAGAGGTAAGAAGAGTAAGGGAGTTGATGCAGCAAAAAGCGATGGGAAATGTGCCAGCAAAAAGCTGGATTGAGGTCGAGCAAACCCTCCATACCTTTCATGCTAGTGATAGATCACATCCAAGAATTGAAGAGATATTAGGAAAGGTAAGAGAATTGTCAGCCAGGATCAAGGGAGCTGGATATGTTCCCGAATAAGGGCTGTGTTTTACATGATGTTGATGATGAGCAGAGAGAGAAGTTGCTGCTTGGTCACAGTGAAAAACTAGCTTTGGCATTCGGTATAATTGCTATTCCTCAAGGAAAGCCTATTCGGGTTATAAAAAATCTACGGATTTGTGTTGATTGTCATATCTTTGCCAAGTTTGTTTCCCAGGTTTATCGAAGAGAAGTATCTCTGAGGGACAAAGGACGATATCATAATATTGTTGATGGAAAGTGTTCGTGTGGAGACTACTGGTGAATGGTGTAAGATAATCATACAAAAGGTGGATTTATACCATTTTGTCTCTAGAGTATATGCTTGGATAATGTAGAGACCCTGTGAAATGGTAACAGTTATGTGGGAACCTGGGTAAGCACAGATTTAGTCACCACTCAGCATGAAGAAAAGATACACTTTGATTTGTGGGGATGGGAGGAGAGAGTTGCTCAAAAGTTATCTTATGTAGTGCTGTTTTCCATTAGGAAAGCAGCTATGGTCAAAGAAGATAGAAAGAAGCGACTAGCAGCGTGAACTTTGTTGCTTTTTAATGACTTTCAAGTACATGCAGAAAGAAGTTGGTCGAGGAGTTTCAAAGGACATGTTAACCACTTAAAAAAGCTGAGGAGGATGTCCTGACAGCATAATCTCATAGTTATTGCATCTGATGGTTGTATCATTTCCGGCGGAGGAGTTCCTTGTTCTCTATGAAGCGCAGATACTGATCCTTGACACTGGACCGCATAACATTTCTCTTGAACTATCATATGTGATAAAAAATTAAGATGCAAAATTTCAATCAACTGTTCTTGGCAGACAACAGCATGAAGACTGTTCATTGTGTGGAGTTGCTGAGACGAATACAAGCCAGCTTCACATATGCAGGAGGTTGGACTTCTATGGAAGCACCCCTGTTAGCTCAGCTTATTTGAAGTTGAGATGAGCAATTGTTTATATTTTATTGGGAGAACTGCACAAATAGTCCCTCATATATTGCAAATGTGAAAATTTAGTCCCTCAGATCGAAAATGATCAATTTTAGTCCTTATCAAATAAAAAAGGATCAATTTGAGTCCCTTTTCACTTTTCCGACTGATTTTTGCCCGGAATATCTCACGTGCATACCACGTGGCCAACTTTTCAAGGGTAAAAATGTCAAACCACTTATATGTTGACCAAAACCAAAATGTAAAGGGCCAAAACCACTTTTCCGGTTCTGATTGAACTAGTTGAAATCAGAAGGAATTTCCACTACAGGAGTAGAAAACTATCACTTTATTACAACTCCAGATAGAGATCATCATATTGCATTAAGAACATACAAAGATTTCCCCATCAGAACACGATATACTATGCTGCACCAAGTTTGGAATATTCAAGAATGTATAATAGTGCTATGTCATTTACTAGTCACTGCTTCTTCATTAGCAGAGGCCCAACATTGTCTCCAGTAGCCTTATTGTGCTTCACATGGCTTCCATCGCATAAAGGGAAAGTCCCAGACCGCCAACACCTGCTCCAACAAGTCAACCAATCCGTCACCGCTCAAAAGAATGTTTACTTCTACTGTGTCATCAAAAACCCCTGGCTATGGCCTGAATTCGCACTTAACATAATTAAATATTAGGCATTCACGATAAAATTGACTTCTATCAGTGTTTTAGGCTTAATGCCTAGAGGGTAGTGTCTGAATACAAAGGCCTGTTAAGTTCATATTTTACTTTGAGCAAAGAATGAATTTACAAGGCTTCCAGACAGATTAATTCCCAAAACAAGGGAAAAAGAAAACACGTTTCCCTTCCATGATCCAACAAGGTAATCAGAAAAGTTGGAAGTGATCAAGTACGCAAGAGATGGTAAATGAAAAACCTGAAATAAGCAGTGAGAGGCTTGTTCAGTTCGGCGATAACAACAGAGTCCACCACTTTGTCTTCGGTCTTCCTGATACCTGGGTTTATGGCTTCAGCCCTCACCACCACCGTTCTCCTCGACTTCTCTGAAGCAGAAAATGGAGGCCTGCCGTATGAGAATCGAGCAGGAGCTACGCTTGCACTAGCCATGGAAACCATAGCTACGCAGAGCTTTTCTTCTTCTTCCTTATCTCAATTTTAGTCCTTACCAAAATGCCAAACCACTTATCTGGGGTCCTTGGATGGTTGCCTTTGCTTGTTTCCTAAAGAATTTCCTCTTCCTTCTTCTCTTGCTTCTTTTAGTGCGGGGATTTGGGTAATGAAGGACTACGGAATAGAGGATTCTTGGACTCAGTCAAGTCTTCGAGCATCAAGAATTTTGGGAAGTATTCGCCCTTTACATTTTGGTTTTGGTCAACATATAAGTGGTTTGGCATTTTTACCCTTAAAAAGTTGGTCACGTGGTGTGCGCGTGAGATATTCCGGGCAAAAATCAGTCGGAAAAGTGAAAAGGGACTCAAATTGATCCTTTTTTATTTGATAAGGACTAAAATTGATCATTTTCGATCTGAGGGACTAAATTTTCACATTTGCAATATGTGAGGGATTATTTGTGCAGTTCTCCCTATTTTATTTAAGCCTATCTTTTGTAGCTATAAAGCTTTTCAGGAAGTGATACTTTTGGATTTTTTCCAATAGTTCAATTTCCTTTACTAAGCATTTCTGTTCACCGTGAAAGGCTTAATAAGGATCTACAAATTGTCTCACGTAATATGCTTTAATTTTGTAAACCCCTGCTTTTCAGACTCGGTTTATGGAACATGGAGGTTGAAATTTTCCATAAATTCGAAGCCACATTTCAAGACATTTGAGGTAAATTTTCTGTTTAGCCTATCTGAACTGGTCAAGTTTAAAAAGCTTTTAACAGTTGCAGATATCATGAAAAGAATTTTATATAGGCATAAGGTGACGGAATAATAATAAAAAAAAACAATGAACATGATGCGATTGCCGAAGTGAAGGTCCGACCGGACCGGGTGCCTAGGGAGCGAGCTGAATCGTCCGACCTGCACGCGGGCGAGCTGCGGGGCTGAGTCCCCTGTAGCAACTCCGACGATCAAGTCAGAGGAAGATCTTGTAAGTGAAAGAGTAGAGATTGTGCTATGAATAGCGTACCTTGTGCCTCTCTTTTGTGTAGTATTTATAGATGCTCAGGTAGTAGCTTCCTGGTAGGACAAGGAGTCCTTACTGGAGTGAATGACTCCTAGGGCTCCATGACACGAGCCTAAGGATGCGGACCTCGCAGCCCATCAGGCCCCTACGCCTGAGAGGCGGCGCCCGCATGGGCCGACCTGAAACCGTAGCCCAGCACCTCCAGTCCGAGCTCGTGGGTCGGACTGGGCTGTTCGTGGCCCGGGCCGATGTGCGTCTGGGCCCCACTACACTAGCCCCCCCTCTAGTCTAGAGTCATCGACCGTGCGCGTGAGTCTAGCCGTCTTTCTGGCCTCGCGTCAGCTCGGTGTGGGGCCCCTGTCTAAGAGTGGTGCACGCAACCGTCGCGTCGGTTCGCGTCAGTCACCTCGATCGTCACGTCCGCCAGCTACGACGGTTAGGAACGGTTCCCCATAATGGTTCAAATAAATGCACGTCCCTTCATCTTCCCGCCTTGTGAGTTGTCTATAAATAGGCTTCTTGGGCGTCATTTTCACACCCCTTCCTTCATTTTGTCAGTTCGCTCCTCCCCTCCTTAGTTCGCTGTTTCACTTTCTTTCTTCCGAGAGCACGTCGGATCGCCCAGCTTTAGGAGTCCAGAGTCAGTTCGCGCTATCCTTAGATCAGCCTTTCATCCGATCTCCTCCCATCAGTAAGTTCCCCTTTTCCTTTTTATGTCTTCTTATAGTTCTGATAGTTCTGACGTCACCAGCTCAGCCCCTAGGCATAGGACGTCTAGCCCCATACTCTTAGATAGCAGCTCCTCCGATTCCTTTAGTTCTTCCCCTTCAATTTCATTTGGGCCAATACCCGCGCCTTCTTCCGTCCAACCTCCTGCTAGAGACATGAGCCCAGTGGAGCGACCTGCCCAGCCCCTAGTTGGAGCTGCTGAACAGGCAGCTCCGATCCAGGCGGCAGCAGGGACCTCGGGAGGACCTAGTGGCGACTTCGGAGAGGTCGACACTATCCCCCCAGCCCTGGAGCAAAAGGACGTAGACGTGCTGGTAGAAAAGTACGAAATCCCAGCCCATTTTGAACCTAGGGCTGCCCACCCAGGAGAGGTCGCCAGCCGACCTCCTCCCGGGTTCGTGGCGATCTACAGGGACCAGCTGATGGCTGGCCTTCGCTTGCCTATCCCTGATTTCCTTTTCTTTATCCTCACTTTCTGGGGCATCCGCATAACCCAGGTCATTCCCAATGGCGTCCGCTCCATCATAGGTTTCTTTATCCTATGTCGTGCCTTAGAAATCCCATTTTCTCCCGACCTGTTCCAAGCCTTCTTCCAGATGAAGGTCAGCGGGAAGGTGCCTGGGTGGTTCTATTTTGCCCGCAGAAGTGGAGCAAAAACCCCCACCCGTGAACTGTTCACGGGAGCACCTTCCTCAATTAAAGACTGGAAGCGTTACTTCTTCTTTGTGAAGAACCTGGGCTTCCCCCCCCCTGACCTGGAGGGCGGAGACTCAGGTCTCGGATCCACTTCCGTCCCCGCTCCCTGTGAACGAGCTCAACCGGCTACTCAGCTCGGAAGAGAAACTGGAGGTGAAAGAGTTCAGCAATGCCCAGCTTTGGGCGGCGGGGCTGATCCGAGCTAATCCCTCAGATCCCTCGCCTGAAAATAAATCTTTATCGTTGGACGAGCTGATAGCCTGTAATCGACCTGGACCTCAGTCTTTCCTTTCTTCCTCTTTTTTTTTTTTTTAATGCATCTACTGACCTTCTGATCTTCTTCATGTGCAGTGAAGAGATTTTCTTCACTTCTGACCATCGGAGGCGCCAGCACTCCGGGCACCACCCCGCAGCCCTCCGCAGCCATCCCGGCCAGCTCGGCTCCGGTTCCACCGCTCCAGCCAGCTCCTGCCCAGTCCTCTAAGCCCGTAGAGGCTGAAAAAAAGAAGAAGAAGAAAACGACCGCCAAGAGAGCCAGGGTGGAGACGACCTCGTCCCCAGCTCAGGAAGAGAGGCCGACGCCTGAGCCCGGTCAGGACGTCCACTACGGTGTGAACACCGCCGAGGAGCAAGCCCGGGCCGGAGCTCCTCCTAACCTGTGGCAACACCGGAGCTCTACCCTGCTGTTCGACCCGCAGACGCGGTTGGTCACGCACCAACATCCAATGCACTTCTGTCCCCAATGGAGGCTCTCCATAAACGATCGAGCCCAATTTCCACATGTAGCCAGGGAGCTCGCCCACGGGGCCATCCTACCGCGAGACTTCAACTTGGTTAAGGCCACGGAGTCGTCCGACCTCCTCGACTACTATTACACAGGCGCGGCTCAGGTGAATGTGGTCGGGTCCGAGCTGGCAAAGCGCTACGAGAGCCTGCTCCCCCTGATGAGCGAAACAAAGGCTGCCAACGAGAAACTGCTAAGCCAAAACGAAGCAGCCGTGGTCGAAACTGAAGGTCTGAAAAAGCAGCTCGCCCAGGCGCACTCAAGCTTCGAACTGGAACTGAAGAAAAACTCCGAACTGTCCTCCCAGCTGAAGGAGGAGCAGAGAAAGAGCGCGGAGTTGTCTGCTCAGATCGAGGCGGCCAGGGCCGAAGGTCGCCAAGAGGGAGTGCGGACCTATCTCAGGTCGACAGACTTTACGAATGACCTGGCTGCCCTGAACACCCCCGTGCTCCATCATGGGTACTCCCTGGCCCTGAAGGAGGTGCAAGAGCTGGGTCTGCCTGGATTCGACCTGGGAAAGTTCACAAGCTACAACCCCCAGGCTATCGAGCAAGTGGACCGTCTGGTAGAGGGCTACACGCGCGGGCGCAAGCTGGCCGACCTGGTGGCGGACCCCCTACTGCCTGTGACCACCCCCGAATCCGAGCAGGAGGAAGAAGAGGGGGAGAACTAGAGTAGGTCGTAGGATAGGTCCCGAACTGTTGGCAGGCAGTTCTTTTTGTACGAGCCTTGCTCTGCCCCCGCTCAATTTCTTTTGTGTGAGCTCGGCTCCC